TGACCTTCATAATATTTTAAGATTAATTAAGATTATGATTTTTAAGATTTTCTGTTAGTCCAAACAATCTTAAAAAAAAATATGGATAAACATATTTATTCTGTTTATTCATAGAGAATGAATGCTATTTATTACCACTGGAAGTTTGTTTTCAGGGGAAAATAATTATATTATACAATCCCTGAGAATACAGAAAATAGCACTTTCTTAAAGAGTGATTATCAGACTTAAGTAAATAAAAATAAAAAACCCCATAGAAATACTGTATTAGTAGAATGTATAGATTGCTAGTATCTAGATGACATGAGATTTATTGAAGTACTATTTTTAAGAAGCAAGACAACTACTTTTCAACTGCATTTGATTAACAATGAGGTAGATCTGCAACTGCCTTAATTATTTTCTACTTTTCTTTCAGATTAAGCTTTAATATTACCTATCTGATAATAAGTTTTAGAGTATATTATTTGTTACTGTGCTTAATTGTTCATTATTTCTGCTGTATGGTATAAGAGGAGAGAGTCTTTATATCCCAATAAAAGCTTTTTTTATTTGTTTTTCTTTAAGGAGGAAGAAATTGTTGATTGGTGGAGCAAATTTTATGCTTCAATAGGAGAATATGAGAAATGTGGACAGTACATTAAAAAAGGATATGACACTTTAAAGGTATTACTCAGGAAAAAATAAGTTAACATATTTCAGAGTTTAAAGGCCCAAGACCTGATCAAAACTGTCCCTTTTTTTTTTTTTAAATGCTCTTCAAAATTTAACTACACATGATTTTCTATTAAGGTTCACTTTCAGTCAAAGGGAATTTTACTCTTGACTTCTCTGTGTGCCAGGCAGGTCCTAAATAAACATACACATTAAGAAAGTATGAGCACAGAAAATCAGTACTTTTACTGTTGTCTAAAATTTAAAGTGAGACTCCTTTCATTTCTTATCTAATGCAGGTAACAAAGAAAGTAAAGATAAACTTATGTCATGGTACTTACACTGGTTTTAACCAAGCCTAAATTAAGCTTTATCTCATGTTCTCCAAAACACTGCATTTGCTCCCACTTTGATATAAAAATAGTTCCAAAAGCTTTGGTTCCCTAAAATATTCCATCAAACATAAAATACTTTGCAATGCCATTATGGTGGAGCTGATATATTTGATAATTTCTAAACTTTCCTTTTTTCTTTTTTTAAGGTGTATGACTGTGAATTGGAAAAAGTACCTGAATTCAATAACTTAACAGACTTCTGTGATACATTTAAACTATACAGAGGGAAATCTGAGGAGAGTGACGATCCATCAGTGGTCGGGGAATTCAAGGTAAATTTCAAATGGTTTGCAGCAAATAAATGCTAGTTGCATTTTTGTTTTGTATGTAAGTGGTTATTGAAGTAGCAAGCATTTAAATTTAAATATGGACGTGTGCATTAGTAGGGGCAACAGATATTCATAAGTACTTAGCTACAGGCCCATCTTTTTCAAGGAAAGTACTACACATTGCTCACACTAGATATGCTACATGTTAATTGAAAATAAATATAATTCCTGCTAATGTAACCTTCCCAGATAACCTCTCAAACAGGACTAAAATTCCAAAAAGCACATTTTTAGAATGATTTTGAAAAGGTATTTTGTACTATTTCTGTGTTTCTGTGACTTTTATAGATTAAAATAATGCTAATGTACATAAAACCAACCAACCACTCAAAAAACCTTCAAACCTTAAATGATATTTTTGGAGAGAGAAACAGATACAAAGTATTTGTTACATATTCTTAGCCAGAGCAAAACTGATTAATTGTATTATCATCAAAACAGCTGAATTGACTTAAATTGGCAAAGGATATAACCTTGTCTTTTTAGTCTTATCAACCAATACCCACCAAAATAAAACAAAACAATTCTAAACCACTGTGGATTATGCTATAATTCTGCTATTCCTACATAAAACAGAGTGTGTATGTGCAGGATAAATAAGAAAAACCAGACTTAGCAGAGTGATTTCTCTACATTTATCTTGACCAAGCCTTTATACTGTGATTTAGGGATCATTTAAGATCTATGCACTGCCTGATGATCCGGCTATTCCAGCTCCTCCGCGGCAGTTCCGAGAGCTGCCGGACAGCGGGCCCCAGGAGTGCATCGTGAGGATCTACATCATCCGAGCCCTGCAGCTCCAGCCCCAGGACAACAACGGGCTGGTGAGGCTGTTTGCTTTTGTCTGACACCTAACTGCTCTCCTATACTTCAAATAAAGTTAGTCTTGATAACTATTTCTTAACAATATTCTTCTTTCTTATTTTAAATAGTGTGATCCTTATATAAAAATATCTCTAAGCAAAAAAGTAATTGAAGACAGAGATCATTATGTGCCTAATACCCTCAACCCAATCTTTGGCAGGTAACATATTTTTCTGTATTTTCAATTTACTGTATTTTAGAATGTTTTCCTATTTTTCAAGGTAAAACATTACTTGAAATATCCAGTGCTCTATTCAGTTATATACTGACAGTTAATTGTGAGTAAAATTGCATAAGGTGTTTTCCTTTGAAATCATTGGAAAAAACAGATGTTTGGCTGATCCATAGATTTTCTTTGTCATGTGGGTAAACTGCACAAAGTAAAACTATGTATATATCTGAAAACCAGCCTGTGTTAGGCATATAAGAATAACAAAATATGCTTATGGAATATGGAAAAAGTTTTAACTCTGAAAACTAGATGGATCTCAGAAGTAATCAGCTTAGCATGCATTCCCAGTACACTGGTCTTTCTATCAAAAGTTAATGACATGAAATACATGAAAATAATACTAGTTAGGAATGAAAAGTTACATCATCTGCATAATTACTATGAAATTATGGGTCTGGTTTAGAGTTGTATGAGGATTTTGATAACTTAGGAGGTTCAGAGAGGAGGAGTAGAAGGATTGTAAAGGGTTCGAAAAGCATAATTTACAATGATGTACTACAGTTTTTCAATTGTTCAGATTATGCAAAGGAATAGACAGCAAAAATACATGATTACAGACAGAGTAACTTCCTTCCTCAGGAAGGATGCATGCTGATGCACAGAAAATATCTAAGTAATACATTGTGCAGAAAGGAAGGAGGTTATATCCAGAAGAGTAAAAATGAAATTATTTATAAGTGCAAATAGAAATTGGAGCATAAAAGATAAGAACTGCTGCTAGATTTACCAGCACTGGAAGCATCCTTTTAATACCTTCTAAAGGCTATTGCTCAAAAATAAATTAGTAAGTGCTTTTTTCAATTTGTATTTTTAAGTTTAAAAATAAGAAGCATTTCTCAATAGAGCAATAGGCTTAATGGGGAAATTTTATGTTTAGAATGTATGAACTCAGCTGCTTCTTGCCTCAAGAAAAAGATCTGAAAATTTCAGTCTATGATTATGACACATTGACTCGTGATGAAAAAGTAGGTGAAACCATAATTGATCTGGAAAACAGATTCCTTTCTCGTTATGGATCTCACTGTGGCATCCCCCAGCAGTACTGGATGTAAGTAATTTTGTCTGTTGAAAATTTTTATCTGTAAGACCTAGTACTCAATCTCTAAAAAAAACCTTAATTCTATGGTTAAAAAACAATGCTGCGGCTTTTCAAGGATATTTGTTGTGCTTGTTCTATCATCTAAATTCCAAGTGAAGCTGTAAAACTTCAGAACAGCCTTTACCCAAAACCATGGCATCAAATATTTTAATATTTTCTTAATACAGTAATGTATGTTATTTCTGTCCAGAGTACTCATGCTTAACATAATTTTCTGACCTACCGTTGCAATTAAATATGAAAGCATCTGTGAGTGTAAATTATTTTGATAACTAAAGAAAAACCACTCTGTCTTGGAAGGTAATTGAGCTGATACAAAATTATGTCACTGTGTCAAACTCCAGAGCCCTCAATCTAGGCAGTTACAGTGCTGCTCTTTCTGATCCAGTTTAATGAATACATTTTACATGATGTGTAAATGCCCTGAATGGTGGATAATTTCAGGATATGTTTCTTTTGCTTTCATAAAAGTTCAGGTGTGAATACCTGGCGTGATCAACTAAAACCCACCCAGTTACTGCAAAATGTAGCCAGGTTTAAAGGCTATGCTCCTCCTGTCGTCTCTGAGAATGGCAGAAAGATTAACTATGGGGGTCAAGACTATACTTTGGAGGAAGCTGGTGAGTTGATTCACTTATTTCATATGTTTTTATATTTTATTTGTATCTTTTAAATTCATTTTTAATTAAATTTATTTGTATGTCTTAAATTGATAAAATATAAAGCTTTCCATTTATTTATGGAGTACTAGAAAAATATCTTTGATTTTTTTCCAAGCTGAACACACTTTTACGCTCAATTTTAAACATCTGGTTTTAATTATTTCTTTAAGTTCAAATGAAAATTCTAGTTCATAAGCCCCTGCTTTTTTCCCCATGTCTTTTATTTCAGAAGCTAACAAAATCTTGCATCAGCATCTTGGTCCGAGTGAAGAGCGGTTAGCCCTTCATATCCTCAGGACGCAGGGTTTGGTACCCGAACATGTGGAAACAAGAACCTTATATAGCACTTTCCAGCCCAACATCTCCCAGGTACTGTGAACTGGCTTGGTTATGGTTTCTTGAAAGCAGAAATGGAGCATTCTGGAATGCATGTCATGTTGTTAATGGTGTGGTATCTCTCCAGGGAAAGAGGGCTACAAATCATTAATGCTTGGCTTAAAATGTAAAGCAGGTTGGTCTAGAAACATAACAAAACACAGCTTTTTAAAGAAAGTTTCTGTAGAAACAAGAAAACTTATCTGAAAAATTAAGGGGCCGTGACAAACCTATATACAGCAAACAATCCCTCATCTATCTTCTTCACTGCTGCAGGGAAAGCTGCAGATGTGGGTGGATGTTTTCCCCAAAAGCTTAGGTCTGCCAGGCCCTCCGTTCAACATCACTCCCCGAAAAGCCAAGAAGTGAGTATCCCCACATACTACATACCCTCTGGCAGCCTTGACAAAGCACTCCAAATCTCTTGCCCCAAACTTCTCTCTTAGGTATATCTTGCGTGTGATCATCTGGAACACCAAGGATGTCCTTCTGGATGAAAAGAGCATCACAGGAGAAGAAATGAGTGACATTTATGTGAAGGGGTAAGAGCATTCTCTCATGTAACACTTTAATAACATTCAGAATGTCCTGGGAATACCTTGACCATGGGTTTCAAATATTATTTGGTTCAGCCAAGTCAAATGCTAACCTCAGAGAAGTACAGAAGTGTTATGAGATAAAGCACAACCAGTTAATGTGTGGTGAAAGATCCCAGAATTTAATCTCTTGAGATGGACAGCAATTGAAAAGGCAGAGGGTTAGCTTTGGTGCTGCATAGCTTGAATTCTTAATTTTTACATTCACTAGTCTTAATACAAAAAAAAACCAATAGAAATCAGAGAAATATACTACCAGGCAGATCTAATTTCTCACTAAAAAAGAACTTACTAAAAAAGACCTGCGCTGATACAGCACGGGTCTTAGATCAGAAATTCAGTTCAGATGTTCCCATTTACAGTGCCAAATTGGAACCAAACTGCAATGGGGCGTGAAAACTCCACAGCCCTCTGTGAGCAAGTCTTACAGCTTGTCTGCAACCCTTTAATGACACAGTTCCAGTACAAACAGGCACCAGTGCTGTGTCACTGCAAATACCAGACACATCTCTCCATATTTTCAGATGGATGCCTGGTAATGAAGAAAATAAACAGAAAACTGATGTTCACTACCGATCATTAGATGGCGAAGGGAACTTTAACTGGAGATTTGTTTTTCCTTTTGACTATCTCCCAGCAGAGCAACTCTGTTTAGTTTCCAAAAAGGTAAGTATTTCTAAAGATTTCAATGCTTAGAATACAGATTCTAGCCTGGTAATTTGTACCAACATATTGAAAGAGACAATATGGCTCAGTTCCATATACTTTCTCACACTGCTGTTGTGAAGAGATTCATTTTGGAACAACATGCTGGCAACAACAGCAGTCTGCTTTTAGCAGGGCAAGATTAAATCTTTTAATACTTCCACCAGCCCCAGAATTCACAAGTGGCTTGTACTAGATCCCAGTACTACAAGTACTAACCCCCAGATTTGAATTTCTGTAAATAATTTATAAAAGTGCTTGGTATTTGTTTTTAAAAATTTTAGGAACACTTTTGGAGTCTTGACAAGACAGAATTCAGAATCCCACCCAAACTGATCATTCAAATATGGGATAATGACAAGTTCTCCTTGGATGACTATCTGGGTAAGATTTTGAATGAAAAGAGTTACTATTGTCTCAAAGCAGGATATCAAAGTGAACAATTTTAAATTATCACATAAGGATTGCATTTACAGTGAGACAATGAGTGTGGAAATATACTCCAGCTTTCCTTCACAGTACAGGCTTACTGAATGAGTAAGGATTCACTCAGTAAAGGCCTGCTGGCAGGTAAACCAATACTTTTTATACTTTTTATTCAGGTAAACCCTCTCACAAAGCATAGGAAATGTTAGCATGCATGAAAATTTACTTTGCTTCTTTCTTTAAGTAAAAATACTTAAACAAGGCCACTTCAGTCCTAAATAAGAGTATTGAAAGTAGCACATAATTTAGGTTTAAGCATCTACTTCACATTGTTCTTAATCCCTACCTTTTCTAGAGATACTGCTCTGCATGAGATTCTCTGGCCTGTATTAAGAACTGCTCCAAAGTCTTTAGCTTACATACAAACTATATAGGCCTCAAAATCTGAAAACAAGTAGTTGATTTATAACCACCATTAAAGTTTGCTAAATTATGCATTTAACTGTCAGAAATTACTTATTACATTGCTGTATTTGGGCATCTTCCATTTAAATGTGTGTGGGAAAAAAACCCTTTTATTAAAAAAATCCAACAGTCTTGCATTAAAGAAGGGGGAGTCCAGCTTGCTGAATCCAATTTATCAACACCAGCAAGAGGGGCTTAAACACAATGTGTCCCACTTCCCTACCTCACAACATCTTTAAACAAGCAAGAATATAATGTGTCTGTTGACTGCCTTTCCTGTAGTTCCTGTATGTCTGTGTTTAGAGATAGCAAGGGTTGATGTTGAGCTGCTGTGCTGTATGGTTGGTTGTGTTATGCAGTGTTTGTTTTATATCTGCCTCCTAGGCTTTGTGGAACTTGATTTACATAAAACAATCATTCCAGCAAAAGTTCCTGAGAAGTGTAATATAGACATGATTCCAGAATACAAGGCAGACAGTGTTCAGAAGGCTCCCAGAACCGCCTCTCTCTTTGAACAGAAATCCATGAAAGGATGGTGGCCGTGTTATGTTGAAAAGGATGGCTCCCGCATTTTAGCGGTAAGGTTTTTACTTCTTTTAAAAGTACTTTGAACGTGCTCACATTACTTTTCAAATTTCAAAGGAAGTCTCCCACTTAGCTGTTAGCTTTCAGTGGATAGACAGAGGAGGGATAAATAGGACATTCCATGCACAAGTCCAGGAAACTGGTGCAGCAACAATTTTTTTGTTTTATAATGAGAGTTTAATACTTCATTTATGTAGTTTCTTGCTTACTTTGTTTAACTTGAAAGACCGTGGTGCCAGGTTGAGTCATGCTATCTTTCCAAAGCAGCTGATGAAGTCCTGTGAATGAATCCATAGCCTCAAGCTGTGCCAGGAAAGATTTGGCTTGGACATCAAGAAAAATTTCTTCACAGAAAGGGGTGTTAAGAAGTGGAATGACTGCACAGGGAGGTGGTGGAGTCACCATCCCTGGAGGTGTTCAGGAGAGGACTGGATGTGGCACTTAGTGCCATGGTCTAGTTGACAAGATGGATTTGGTGATCTTAGAAGTCTTTTCCAACCTAAATGACTGTGTGATTCTTTATCATATTATTGCTCAGAAGAACATCAGAGACATCCCAAATGCACTAAAGATGAAAGGAGAATGTTTAAATCCAAAGGAGTTTTGTACACAGCAAACATAATCTCTCTACTGAGAATCCAGAGTAGCTTTGTGATTATGTATGCAATCAGAAGACCAAAAACATTCTAACTTGTTCTACAAAGAATATAAATGTATATTTATAATTTGCAGTGAGGAAAAAAGATTCAGAAGCATTCACAAGCCACAGCAATATGAAAAATTAGATGCATGATCATTTGGAAAATATGCAAATGGGGGTTACTTGGGTTACTCTTGAAAGAAAAGAACTGGCTTTGTTTTGCTAAATTGGAAAAAAAAAGTTACAGCTTAGAACTAAAGATGTTTTAGCAGAACAATTTTATGTCCAGTGATTTAGTTTTTCTACATCTTTTCCTGATACTGTGTTGTGACACCATCATAGTACAGAAATCGGTATATTTCAAGGAGGAAATCAGAAACACACATGTACCCCATGTGCTGATCCCAGCTATTCTGTGTAAAAACCAAGCAAGTCCTATTAGTGCATTTTCAATAAGATGCTTGTCTCATGCCACTACTTTGTTCTGAAGGGTAAAGTTGAAATGACATTGGAAGTTGTCAATGAAAAAGAAGCTGAGGAAAGGCCAGCTGGTAAAGGAAGAGATGAACCCAACATGAACCCCAAACTAGATCTACCAAAGTAAGATATTTTTATCCCACTACCTTTAGAAATACTCAATATCTAGCTACTCTGATGCATGTACTAATGTGTAATGTAATATATAATGTAAATATTAGTCATCAGTTATCCTTTGCAAAACTCCATTTATAAAAGCCAATCCTGTTTCCTCCTGTAAGCATTAGGATAAAATGCAAGGTGGTTTCAGTACTGCTGCTATCTTGCATTTCAAACCTATCTGTTTTCTTCAACCTCCAGACCAGCATGTATTAAAGTGATATAATCTCATGCTTAAATATTCCATGGTTTTAGAGTATAAATAATACTTACTTCTTTCAAAATACAGCCGGCCAGATACTTCCTTCCTTTGGTTTACAAATCCCTGCAAGACCATGAAATTTATCGTGTGGCGCAGGTTTAAATGGCTCTTCATAGGCCTTATCATCTTGCTGATCCTCTTCCTGTTTGTAGCAGTGCTTCTCTATTCCCTGCCGGTAAGAATTTCTGAATTTTACTGTTCCTCAGCTGTGGGTTGAGCTTATCAACCAGGAGTCATCAACAGGATACACTCCTGACTCAGAGTTTATCATCTCTGTTTTAGAAGGAGATAGGGATTATATCCTTATAGATATAAAAAAATTAAACTGGTTTTTATTGAGAAACAATTAAAATTTAGGTTAAAACTAACCTATTAACTAAAGATGGAACAAGGAACTGCTTTAGAAGAGTTAATAACCTGCACAATTAAACTAACTAATAATTGGCCTAGAGTCAACATTAGTCTGAAAAAAAATTACCTCTTTTCACTGTATTTTAACTGAATTACCACACCCTAAATACATTTTGATCCATTTTAATATTTGAAATGTCTTTTTCAAAACTACACTGAAGTATTTTGTGTACATCATTTTACCTCTCTTGTTTCCTTCCTCCTCTCCCAACAGAATTATTTGTCTATGAAGATTGTGAAACCAATATAAGGAAGATTTTTTACCTCATGTTTTTAAATAGTGCTGAAATTTTGCCCCAGGCTGTGGACCAAAATCAGCAAGGCTCTCCATCCTTTGTATCTGCTTGTATTTAGAACAGTAAAATAGATAATTAAGACTCTCAATAAGGTTAGCCAAGGTTCAAGAGGTCATGGAAGGTGTTTTTTAAAAACAAGGAATAACCCACAACCCCCATTTTTTTTTACTTCAGTGGTATCTACGTTGAAGTTCTGACTTTGCTTTTAAAGAAAGCCTCACTCAGAGGCTGCCTGCTATTGCTATCTCTGGTTTTTAACATATACTTCCTTTTGAGAATCCTTTTCGTTGGGCACACTTTGAAACTCTGCATTTTAAATTAAAGGAAAACAATCATTCCTTATGTCTACCACAGAAACATCGCAGTGGAACCAAAGGGTCATACACTGTTTCTAGTTCCAAATTTTCATCATCATGCTGCTTAAAATTCTTATTTGCCATGCTGTAGACTTGACAACACTATATATGTATCCTGACAAGTTAACAAACATAGTAATTAATTATACATTGTTTTTTTAGCATAATTACAAAATTTTAAATAAACATATCCACAAGTAAAATGCAAGTTTCCAGTTTTCTTCAACTATTACAAAACTACACTGTATTAGGACTTGTGTAGGATCTATCAGAAGATGTAATGTCACATACCTGGAATTTAAGGTATTTTACTGTTATTTGCACAGTGAAGAATAAGGAAATACTTCTGCACAAAGTTCTCATTAATCTATTCATTAATTAGAAAATTAATAAAGAAATATATTGACTATTTTCACTATACTCCTTGTATTTAGAGATGATTATCAGTCAAAACACAGGAGATCCCTGTGAATCAACCCTTGTTTGATCTGCACATGGGAAGTACCTCATTTTGCCTCAATCTCTTCCCCCAAGACAGAGTAAAATATGACCTGCATTTAAAAGGTTATGTTCTGTGATTCTATCTCACTTTTACGGAAGGTTGATGCAGAAGCACCTCTGGACATCCTTTGGTCCTTGAAATAAAGGAAATCTGCAGCAAAACCTGAAATCAGCATTTGGTGTCACATTTTTGAATAGATAAAGACTTCAGATGTCTTTTAAAGATGTCAAAAATAACTACAAAATTTAATTAGCCTTTAAAAACTTCTGTCATTGTATTCAGTGAAATACTTAACACTTTCTTATAACACAGTACTGTAAAATAAAAAGCATGTACTTGTCAGGCAAAATAAGTAACCTTATTCTGTTGGAGGAGTTAGGGTAAAGGTCTAACATTAAATAACTTCCATCATGTGAAGTTCCAGTGGCTAGAGTGGAGCAAGCAGCAGTCAACCCTGTCAAAAACTTAACACCACCCTTAGTTTTTTGTTGTCGAGAAACTCTCAAGCATCTTGAGCCTTGAGTGAGAGCTTAGAGCTGGAACTAATCACCATCCAGATGGATTGTCCCTCCACTAATGATGAAATAGCACTCCAGAAATAACCAGCAATTTGCATGAGCTAATGTTTGATCATCCACTATTAAAATCTGTCTCAATCAATGCCATAAATCTGACAAACGGTAAAAATCACAGCAAACTTATTTTCATGCAAGACAAGAAATTGTGTTGCTTCTAAGGGTTGTAATTAGAAAGCGTTTAACTTCAAAGAGCAAAGAGCAGAGATCCAAGCAAGCCTGTTCACAGAACATTTGAAGAGTGGCAGGTACTGCCCTTCCGAGTGGAGTTCACCCTCTTCCAGATGCCTTTTTGTTCAAGCATGCATAGGCTTGATCGTTTCACTTCAATTAGGCAGTGCTATTAAAAACATAACTGAAAGTCTGAGAAGCCATTCTGTCTGCCAGCCTGCCCTAGTAACAAACAAAAAACAGCACATCTTCACAAGAAAGAAAAGGTAATAATTTATATTTCTATACAATGCTAGTCAAATCTGTAAGTCCTGGTTCAGCTGCTGTGCATGACTCCAACATGCAACAGGTTTTTGTCTAGCTGGAACAATTAGCAGAGGTTTAACCCTGTGTCAGGAGCAACCTGGTGCTGCTCCCACTGTGCACCGATGACTGGGATGTTCACTTTGGCCAGTCCAGCTCTGAACCACTCCAGTTGCCAGCAGCTGAGGCAAACGGCCACAGAAAAGAGGGCAGAATGTAGATGTGCCTGATACCACTCCTCCTTATTGCAGGAAATTACTTAACCTCAGGAATTCTTCCTCCATGAGCTTGTTTTGCCAGTCAGCTGGAACAGCCAGGGAAAGTCTAAAGCTAAACTGAAGGTGCTTATAAGAAAAAATGGGTAACTAGCAGCAGTATGTCAGAGTCCTCCTGCCTCTGCCATCACATAGGTTCAAACACCAGTGGCTGCACTCTTGGATGCACTCAGGCATCCAAGCAGCATATGACTTCCTCCCACTGCAGTCACCCCAAACCCTGACTACTGGCATGGGCTGTAAGGAAGTTAACAACTACTGTCACGTACTTTACAGAGAAAGAACCACCGTGTAATTCAGGATCAAATATTTGGAGAAACTTGCACCTATAGCAGCCCATTGTAAAGAGGCAGTAAACTCAGGCATATTTACAAGCTGTTCTTGCATTTCTTTGAACAACCACAAGATGACATCCCAAGTCTCGTGTGTTCACAAAGACCTTCCGGTACTCCTGTTTTATTCCTACCCTAACTACATCTCACAATGGCGATGAACAAGATACATTTAATAGTCAAGGGAAAATAGTCCCATCGAGTCCATTGCTTCTAAGCCTGTTTGAAAAACACAGCTGTAAGCACCTTTGGGACCTATTACATACTGACCTCTATGCTCCTGTATCCACTCCCTGCCCCTACACGGTTAAGTATCTATTTAGCAACTTGAAAGCAGTACTAAAGTGTGAAATGGCAGCATTCAGTGCTGCATCTTGTCTCAATGCTAGCTCAGCTATTAAATACCGTGAAGCTTTTTACACAGTACTTGCCATTACTCAGAGCTGCCATGTCATGTATACAGACAGGGATCTGAAAGACAATTCTTTAATGGAAAACTATCAACTGCTTTAAAAATTCATATTAAAAAAAAAAAAATACACATCCTATCTGTTGAGCCTGACCATGTTCTGACCACAAAATTACCCTTTGAAAAATTTATTTCCCTTGTAACCTTTACTATGGCTAAATTGCATTCACTGACAAGTGCAAGATGAGGAACACTGTAGGGAAAAAACACTTTCCTGAAGCCTGCAAAAAACTCTGAATGCATTGTAGGCGCTGACAAAAGACCCAAGACAGTTCTGTTCCTTTCCCAGTCCTACAAGGTGTCCAGACTTGCAGAACACAGCAGGAGGTACACAAACACCCCGAACAGCAGTGGGACTACCAGCCACCTCACAGGGATCCTGGAGTGCCAGCACAGAAGGGAGTGCTGCTCACTGCAGCTAGGGGAGCTGCCCAGAAGCAGTCAGTGAGCGACAAGGAGCGTCCCGCATGTCTCAACACGGCACCGGGCTGCTGCAGGGTGCCAGCACCCACCTGGGCTCTGCAGACCAAACCACTGCCTCTCCATTCCTTTCTGCAACAGCGGTGCTACTGCAGCAGCAGTGCTGCAAAGTGGGCACAGTGCGTCAGGAACGGCCTGGCACGCTCAGCCAGGCACCACATGTAGGTTTAAACCTTCCAGGCAGAGAAGCAAACTGAACCTTCACTTCCAGTCTCCTGTGTAATTCTTGTCACTGCTAAGCAGATATAGTAAAACAAAAGAAGAAACAGACGGCACCACCTTCTAGGAGAAACTGTGCACAGTCAGCTCCACAGACACCTATATGAGTGAACCTGTCAGCACAGGCCTTTGGAGATACTGAAGCTTTTGGTCATGATGCAGGTTCAGTGCCAAGCTGGTTAGCTGTAAAAACATACACATGCTTCCAGAAAGGAAAAGATGCAGAACCAGGAGAGACTGGAGAGTTTATATAAACCTGAAGTGCTGTTAGGCAGTAATGGAACAGTTATATATTTGCACCTAAGCACCTGAACTCCCAGTAGTGCCTCTTCACACAGCTGTGTGTCTGTTGGGTCCTGTCACTGCTCTTTAAAAACAGCAGTTAGGAAAATTAATGGAGTTGGATGCATCATCAAACAGGAAACAATTAATAAACTCAGGCTATGTTAACAGTGTTCTATCAATCATAATCCTCTTATGTTCAAACCCTGTATTTTATTTTGCTACAGGTCTCAAAAAAAGGCACGTTATAAATGAATAAAGATTCAAATGTGGATCATGAAAAGAGTCAAGAGCAAGCAAGTAGGATAAGACTTCCTGTACAATAAAAGCTTGAGACATCAGCACTAGGCTGGAAAGTGGCAGAGCAACAAGAAAATAACCAGTGTCTGAAGTAGCCTACAGAGAGGTAGAGAACATAAATCAGATGCATTTATTCAGGGACTATATTAAAAACATGCGCATGCACACATGAAGACTTCTTCTCCCCTCTCAAAACCT